CACAGTGAAATAGTACTCAGCCATAAAAAAGAATGAAATTTTGCCATTTGCAGCAACATGGATGGACTTGGAGGATATTATGCTGAGTGAGGTAAGAAAGAAAAAGACAAATACTGTATGATCCCACTTAAGTGTGGAATCTTGAAAAATACAACAAACTAATGAATACAACAAAAAAGCAGCAGACTCACAGATATAGAGAACAAACTAGTAGTTCCCAATGGGGAGGGGCAATATAGAGGTAGGGGAATAAGAGGTACAAATTATTATGTATAAAATAGGCTATAAGGATATAAGGATATGTTGTACAACACAGGGGATGTAGCCAGTATTTTATAATAACTGTAAATGGGCTATAACCTTTAAAATTTGCAAGTCACTATATGGTACACCTGTTACTTATATGTAACTATACTTCAGTTTTTAAAAGTCCAAAAAAGGAACCAGGAATTACTGAGTTTGAAAATAGAACTGTTTCTCATGTATACCTTTCAATATATACCCAGCTCAGGTACATTTTCAGATTGCTATGTACTGCTATTTACTTGAATGGGAGGGACTCTGATGGGTATTTCTATGCCTCTCCCACCATTTTGAGTTTGTGAAGGATAGAGGGTGGGGCCAAATAACTATTTCTTTAGTTTACAGAAGGAAAAAAAGAGGGAAAGCTTGCAAACAACCATTTCTAAGGAACTACGCTCCAACAACCTCATTTGCATGTGGACCTGATTTATGTGACAAGATCCTGGACTTCAAACTAATGCCATAATGGGATCAAATGTGGGGGTCGTGGGGAAGAAGATGAGTATATTTTACATGTGGGAGGGATGTGAGTTTTTATGTTCAGATTGTATTTTCTGAAAATGGCACAGTTTCTCACATTACATAGGCTCCTCTTATACTATGATTTAAATACACTTTCTATCAAGAGATGTGAGACTGTGTTCCTTCCCCTTGGATCTTGGCAGGCTTGTGACTGTGGTGGAACTGAAACTGTGTGACTCTTGAGGCTGAGTGGTGAAAGGTTGGGAATTTTGCATTTGGGGTCCAACTATGATGAAGCCCAAGCAGCCTGTGGAGAGGCCTCTGTGGAGAGAACCTGAGGCCCCTGGCTGAGCTCCCAGCCAGCAGCCAGCAGCCAGCACCAACCTGTCAGCCATATAAATGAAGCCATCTTAAAAGTGAATCCTACAGCCCAAAGTTGAGCCACCCCGGCTGAAACAAAATGGAACAAAGATGAGCTAGTCCCGCTAAATCCTGCCCATGTTACAGATTCTGTGAGCAAAATAAATGATTGTTGTTGATCTGAGCTACTAAATTTTGGGGTGATTTGTTATATAGCAATAGTCAATTACAGAGTATAAGTGGATACAACCCCGATGGAGATCAATTTGACAATATATATCAAAATTGCAGTTTCATATACACTTTTACCAGACATCCTATTTGGGGGATGGATTCTATAGATAGACTTACCTGCAACTGCAAAATAACATACATACAAGATAATTCATTGCAGCGTTATTTGTAGTAGCAGAAGAGTAGAAACCAGCTAAAATGTCAATAATAGATGAGTTAAATTATGGAACATTCACACAATAGAATACCATGCAGCTATAAAAAAAATAAGGAAGATATATATGAACTGATGTGGAGGGATTTCCAAGATAAACTGTTCAGTGAAAAAAAAAACAGTGCAAAAGAGTATCTATAATTTGCTACTTTTGTGTAAGAGAGAAGAGGAAATAAAAAATATGCATATAAATGTGTCTACTCCTTTGAGCAAAAAGATATTGGAAGGATAAACTTGAGTCTAATAAGATTGGTTACTTGCAGGGCTTGGCTGGGAATGGGGTGAAAAAGACAGGAAATGGAGGGGGCAGTACTGAAGGAGGGCTTAAAATGAATACAAACAGAACCAAGTGAATCCAACTGTATTTCAAATTACTGATAGAGCCACACTAAAAAGGAGTTAACTTTTGAACCTGTATGTTTATACTCTGTATCCTCAGGCTAAAAGCAAAACAGTTCTAAATACTGAACTCTCATTTGTAGGCTTCTTTCCTGAAGGAGCATGTGTTAGCAACTCTGAAACCACTTTCTTTACATTCTAGGGTTGAACAAACAAGTAAATAAAGTGTGCATAATGAGAGCCAGGTTTCTCCCCGTCAGAGAAAGGAGTTACGGATAGGAAAAGAGAGAAGAAGGATAGAATGAACGCTGCTATGTTGGATTAGAATTAGAAGTATCAGTGTGGTCTCACAGGTTTCAATACACATAGCTACATACAGAATTGGATATGGAGTTGTGTGTGTGTGCATGCATATACACGTACACGTATGCATGCATCATTTTATATCTCTTTCCCAGATACAAACCCTGAGAAGGCCTAGAAGCAATGATACTCCAGTAGCTTTTAGCATATCTAGTGCATGGATCTTGGTTTCTAAATGCCATTCTCCATTAAAAGGAACCAGACACAGCCACTCAGTATTTGACAACAGAGCAGGATGTGACAGACTGACCCTGTAGATCCTCTGGTGGGAAGCAGAGCTACTCAGTATTTGACCATTAGAAGGAATCAAGAATCCTTGGAGAGATGGCTGATTCCAGGTTTGGGGCAGGGAAAGCACAAGATGAACACTGAAAGAACATCTTTCTGTCCCAAAGAGTAAAGAAGTACTCAAAGAATGATAGGTACATTTCAGAAGGACACAGAAGCCAGTTTCAAGAGGCTTCCACTGGCTAAATCCAGGGCAATCTGAGCATTAAAATAGTGATAGTAAGTGATTATAACTTACTGAATAAGTAAATAAACCTACCTCTTATAAATTAATGAATGAATGAGAAGGTAAACCTCTTCAGCACAGTAGAAAGCCAACTAATAGTGTACAAGAGTAATGGCATTAGAAAAGTATCATTTGGCAACCATTATAATTACAGTTGATTCAGGCAAGAATTACGAGTAAAAGCTAAAACAAGTGCGTGAAAGTTTGAGGAGAAACAAGATATTTACACAGTCTCAGAGTATCTTCCCCACAAGAAACTTAGTAATTACAGAATTCAATAGTAATCTTCCAGTGGAAATTACTGGTAAATAACCACCATAACCAGGTTAATCAAAGTCCGCATTACCAGTAATGGAAGTAGACAACAGTGTGTGCTTCCTGAAAACAATTCACTGAGAAGAGCCCGGCGTCGTTCCTGGACTATTCTTGCTGTAAGTGCATAGTGTGCATCACTCATGACGAGACATTCGACAAGCGCAAATTGAGGCTTAGCCTGCAAAATAACTAGCCTGTACTTTCAAAATACCGGTGTTCTGAAATACAGAGGAAGGCTGGGGAACTGCTGCAGATTAAAGGAGCCAAGAGATACAAGAGAACCAAAAATCTTGAATTTTCTTTTGTTGGGACATTTAGTGAAATCTGAACAAGTACGTAGTTTAGACAACAGCACTATATCGGTGTTAATTTCCTAATTTTGACCACTGTACTATTGTTATGTAAGAGAATTCCTTGTTTTTAGAAAATAAACACCAACTTTTTTAGGGGTTAGGGGGCATCACCTCTGCAGCTTACTCTTAAACAGTCCAGAAGAAATTATAGAGAGAGAGAAAAAGGGAGAGGAGAGGGAGGAGTTTGTTTTATTATCTTGCAACTTTTCTTTAAGTCTGAAATTATACAAAAGAATTTTTAAGTTTAAAAACAATAATGAGGACATTCTCTATTTCCTAATATGTCTAAGATGGAAAGTTTTCCAGCATTAATTGCTAAGTTAAAAAGCAATGTATAAAATATGTACTTTGGAGGTTAAAAAAGTAGGAGGAAATTAGAATCATATTCATATTTGCATTAAGAAGAATTCTGGGGAAATATACTAAAAGCAGTAAATTGTGATTATTGGGAGTAGGAGCTGGACAAGAAGGAAAGAAGCATGGAGAGAGTCTTTTTTTATTTTTTTA